TACGGTAGCTACATGTGTACCTACAGAATGTTACAGATGCCTTCTAGGCACTGCCTCCTCAAATTGAGTGTTTCACCCAGAACATGTTCTTGTGCAGGGAATTCTGGGATAAAGTCATTATTTATACAAAGAACTGAGAATATCATAGAAAGCTATTGGAGAATCCCGATTGCCTGCCCACTGTTTATTGCTTATTTTTGTATTTTTTTAATGTATTATCTATTCAAGATTAGTGATGTCGCGAACCGTTCGCGAACTTTTCGCGAACTTTTCGCGAACGGTTCGCCACGAACCGTTCGCAGCGAACTCCGGTCAGCTGACACATCACGGCCAATCTCCAGCAGACCCTCCCTCCCAGACCCTCCCACCTCCTGGACAGCATCCATGTTGAAGGCAGCTTCAACATGGATGCTGTCCAGGAGGTGGGAAGGTCTGGGAGGGAGGGTCTGCTGGAGATTGGCCGGGATGTGTCAGCTGACCGGAGTTCACCACACTGTTCGCGAAAAGTTCGTGAACGGTTCGCGACATCACTATTCAAGATATAAAATAAGGAATGGGACAATTACAGCCTGTAAACTGAGAATAAGATACAGGAATGCTCCCGCCATAAAATGGAAAGTTATAACTAGAAAATTTATATATATGGCAGAAGTGTAGGCAAATTACCAAGATCAGGTTGTGCAGAGCCAAAGCTCAGGCTTTTGATATGAAAAAAACCCCAAAAAACATATTTTGGAGTTGTAAGGACTATCAATAAATGTGTGATAGTAAAAATCATGTTTTTCAGGATGTTTCATGCTGTACTCTCCCCTTTCTCCTAATGATTGGAGATTTTGCAGAATATACACCAATCCAACATGTTTAATATACTGTATCAGGACTTCTGACACCACCCACTGGCTTTGCATTGGTTCATCAGATCCTGTGCCTCCTACAAATTATCCCTGCATTTGGTCCTGTCTTCTTGGGCTGTCATTGGATAACTCCATCAGGGGGTGAAATAATACTACTTTAAAGTGATTGCTGTATCTTAAATACTGGTGTATAAGGGCATATTGTGCGCTACAGGACATGGCTTTAGGGATTAAGTACACAGAGTTATGTGGGAACAGTCAAATTGTGGGGCATCAATTCTACTGCCCCACCATGTTGAAACTCCACCAGCCGTCACTTTGCAGAAAGTTGAGCATCTGCTTCTTGTATAGAATGCCAGCCGCACACTATAGTGGCAAGTAGGAGCATCTTGGGTTGCTAGGCAACCAGTAACATGGAGTTAAGCATGTGTTGTATCTTTTTTTTTTATACCCCAGATAGTTTGTTAAGTGACTGTAGAAACCTCTTAAATAAAATGAGCTAACATTCAATAAATACAATCATTTATTGTCAGTATTTTATGGAACTGTTACGTCTAACCTCCATAAAGCTAAACGTAGAAAAAAACATAACTCCTTGTTGTATTAATAATATACATAATACATTGTATTCACCAAATTCAGTGTTTAATATTGCCCTCCCAGCCATTACATTTATTTTTTACAACCGTCAATATGTCTGAATCGAGAACCATTTACGCCTTCCATTTGTAGAAAACTATTTATTGGCTCTCTGGGCAATTAAGTAAAAATTGTGAAAATTGATGGCCATAATAAACCAAATTGATAACAAATTTCCAACTGTTTTCCCAGTTTAAATTGCAATGCTCCAACTTCCCGGTAATTAATAATCCAGAAAGTTGTTTATTTACTAAACAGGGAGTTTAAAAAAAAAAAATAGAAAGACCAAAACAGATAAATGTATGTTTTCATTTCTGTCTATTTTTTATCTCTACTACTTTATTGTAAATTTTAGTAATATGATGGCTATTCGTGAGAACTTAACCTCAACTTAGAAAATGCAGACCTAGTTAATATAATGGACCCGAGCTATATAAAAGTGACACCACATGGTCCAGTAATGTCCCATTATATAGACTGAGTGCCGGATGTTTTAACTCGAATGGCATCATTGTTTGATAGAGAGATGTTTCACAAAATAAAAAAAATATGAAGCAGGCTATTCACAACTAAGTTTTTACTTAGTAACCATGTAAGGAATCATCATAGTTAAAGCAGATCTGTCAACCTTCTGGGGTCTTTGCATATTTTGTAGAAAGACCCAATGGTGACATTACTGCTTGGTGTGCTATAGGCAGGTGTGCAGTTGAGGTGAGATATACTTACCCGATGCCATTCCCCGCAGGCGTACCATCTTTGATCTACGGTTCCTGGCAGTTCATCAGCCATGACCCCACATTAGTCCTCTCCCCTTTCTGAAATGCTCACATTTTTAAAGAGGGGACAACAGAGTCGTTCTAATCTATGCCATCTCAGCAGCTGTAAGCTACAACTGAAGACTGGAAGAATATATATCCTGTAGGCAGGTATACAAATCAATTTTATAGATCACATTAGTGTAATTACCAGTACATGTATTAAAGGATCACTATAGTGTTAGGAAAACAAACTTGTTTTCCTGACACTATATAACCCTTAGGTCCCCCCCCCACCCTCAGGGCCCCCCTCCCACTGGGCTGAAGGGGTTAAAAGCCTTTCAGCTACTTACTTTAATCCAGGGTCAGGCTCCCTTGGCGCTGGTGACCTCTCCTCCCACCCCGACGTAAGCTCCCGAGTGGAACAGAATGCGCATGCGCGGCCAGAGCTGCACGTGCATTAAAAATGCCCATAGGAAAGCATTTCTCAATGCTTTCCTATGTGCGTTGTGCATGCTGAATGCGAGTTTTGCATTCAGCGTCACAGAAGCGCCTCTAGCAGCTGTCAGGAAGACAGCCACTAGAGGCTGGATTAACCCTGCAATGTAAACATAGCAGTTTCTCTGAAACTGCTATGTTTACATCTGAAGGGTTAAAACCTGGGGGAACTGGCACCCAGACCACTTCATTGAGCTGAAGTGGTCTGGGTGACTATAGTGGTCCTTTAAGGGGACATTCTAAGCATCATAGCTACCATAGTGCATTGCAGTGTTTTTGTGCCATTAGTTACCAGGCACAAACCCTAGGTGAAAATTTTAATTAACTCGGCCCTCCTAGTCTCTCACTGACCCAGATAAGTCTCAAGTCGTTTTATAACAGTGGAATTCTTGCCCCGGGGATTACATCAGGGACTCAAGACATCATAAGCACTACAGCGGGCTGCAAAGGTTGTAATGCTTGCACTGTCCCTTTAAATATATAATCATTTGAAATCTATTTTGTTTTCTGTGCAGGCAGATGAACAAGCATGGATCATTGTGCAGTGAATGCTGGGATTGAGCATCGACCATTGTAGAATGTACATGGTGTGTGTACAAGTACATGGCTTGCATCTCACATTCCTAGTTTATAGTGTTATTATTATTATCACTGGCATTTATAAAGCACCAACATATTATGCAGCGCTGTACAAGTGGGGGAAAATACAGTACAATGTACACAGTGGTAGAAAGTGCTGTAAACTCTAATCTGAAATTGGATTTATTCACTTAACTTGTAATTGTCAAGGAAACTGTAAATTCTAAGACAAAATCCTCTACATCAGAAAAAAATCATTTTATTCAGTAGTTTTTTTTTTAGCTTAACTACTTTGGCTTAAAATGTATAATCCCCTTGACAACTCACATTTTACTGTTAACTTAATAAACCCTATATTAAATACAATTTAAATAATAGCACTGCTGGCTACTTAACAAGGATATACATTTTTTGCACTATAGAACTCTGTAAAGTGTGATGAGAGTTGCAGTCAGTGTAAGGCAGAATAAACATGCTTTTGCAAACACAGGATTTCATGCACTCACTGAACCCAATCAAAGGCTGATGGGAGTTGCAATCTTCTCTATGTGAGATATCTGACCAAATACTTTGAAGAATGTAGAAAGCAATAACGAGCAGCGCTATTAACAGTCTCTATTCAGCTGTTGGAAATGTGTGTACTCAGTGGGTGGATCCATCCGGATACCAGATCACTTTTTACATTCTGTTCACTGAATTACACCCGTAACCGTAGTAACTGCCTTGTGAAAAATCGGAGAAAAGTTGCTTTCCTTGGCAACATTCTGGAAAACGATTAGACACACAAAGGCACACTTTGAACTAAAATGGGAATTTGACAGATGATCCATTTTATTTGGGGGAGCGAAGATTCTAGTATTCAGGTAACGTCTTTTGTGATTTTTGGAAAGGTGACGGTACACAACGCTGGTGAGTACCAATTGGATAAAAAAAAAAGAAAAAGCCCGGGGCAGAGCTAACGGTCAGAATCTCTACGTCTATTCTTAGCTAGCTTCTAAACAAGAGCGTTCAGCAGCAGGATTGCAGACTTAACAGAGAGGTCTGCCATTGTCCCACATTCCACGCCAGAGGAACCCTTTTTACTTCTCGCTGTAGACGACAGATCATTTTCCACTTGTGAATAGAATATCAAAGGATCAGAAAGTGTCCAAGATGAAACATTTTTTCTTGTGTGCTGATAGTGTGCAAAAGACCAATGGATGCGCTATAGAATAATCAGGAGCATCCAAAGCTCCGTCGCTCTCCAACTGCAGAGCAGGAATCTGGGACAATCTCTGAATAAATTAACTGGTTTGAAAACTAAAGTTTCTATGCCCATCCCCCCTCTCCCTCCCCCACCCCCCCGAACTCTCAATTAAAGGCGCAACTGTTAAATAAAAGAAGAGTGACAAATCGTTCAGGCGACAAGAGAAGAATAAAGCTTTTAACCCATTCCCTGCCATGAACAGAGTAAAAATCCTCAACGACGTACAACGTAATGTACAGCATTATCAGCAAAATTAAAAACAAATACATAAATAGAGGGATGCACCCCAAGTGAGTTTTAACCGTACTGAACTAACCTTAAACTCAGCGTACTGAACTAACCTTAAGAGTTGCTGTTTCCCAAGAAAATAACAGACTCCCAGTGCAGTGGCACACTATTTGAATATTTTTGCTTTGAATCATAAAATAGGTGTCTTTTTGCATATTAACCCATTGGCAGCTGGAGATGGTAAGTCACAACACTGGCATATATAAATCTAGCTGTGCTGGCCACAGATATATCTACCCATTAACCAATAAAGAATGATAAGTTATGCAAACTCTTTTTGAAATACCAGGCAAGTCATTGGTGCTTAAGAGGTCATTTTGCTTCTTATAACGCTCTCTTTGGAAAGGGTAGTAGTATTACCATCACTGATGAGATCTGAGTAAAATGCACTGGTTACAATCCCAGCACCCAAAGAGTTAAACGAGAAAAACAAACAGATTTCACTGTAGCTAAAGGGTTAAGAGAAACTGTTGCACCCTGCAGATGAAGGTGGAATTCATTCAGGAGCACTTCTTTAGCAGAATGTGTATGTGTCAAGGTATTTGGGTGATTTCCAAAATATTTTCGCCTGTGATGTTTTTTGCACCATCGAAAATATTTGTCCCTTTTTACCCTGTCCTGTGAGATGGTGGGAGTTAGAGGGGGTTAGCTTGTTCCAACCTTGACCCAAGCAGAACCTTTTGAAAAGTCTTGCTCTGCATGCAGATTAGCTATAAGGGAGGGGGGCATGGGTTGAAAGCACCAGGGAAAGGGCTTTGTGGAAATTTCAGCAAGCAGTGTGGTGTAAGAGTTCACTAAATCTCCATGCCCTTGTGAATTACAATCTCCATGTATGACATTGCACTGTGTCAACAGCAGCAATCACTCACCCACCAGACCGAAAAAAACTTTCCTTTCAACATTGCTGAACTGATTTTTCAATGAAAATCTATTTTCCATTGGACAGTTATAGTGCCCCAGACACAGGTTAATGTGCTTCACACTACAGATATTAATACCTCCATAAACAGTTTAATGGGGGTTAACCCTTTCACTTGCATCCCAAAGAATGACATGGTTTCACAGACAGTTTCTATTAAGTAACAACCCAATAAATATCCCATACTGCCCTGGTCATAAAAAAACCCCCAAAACTATTAATAAACATTACCATAAAAATGTAAAAATGGATATATAAAACCAATATGCAATTTATAATAAAATAAATACTTCTGCATATCTGTATACAACACAGGATATTTCATGATTCATCATTTTATAACATTCTATAAATATTCTTACATGCTGTATCTGTAAACACATACACATACACACACATACACACACACACACACACACACACACACACACACACACACACACTGAAATGGTTATTTAAACAACGAAGCGTGCATTTACACGTACACATAATTATACACCGCATTCTATTACATCTCTTTAACCTCCTTACAATAAATATATATAATAAATAATGCATATAATACATACATATCTCTGACAGCTATATGTTTAGATCACCAAGGAATATTACAATATTGCACACACACACTACCCCATCACCATTTGCAAAGCACCTGCATAGGCAGTAGCGCAGTGACTGTGACAGTGAATGGATGGGGTAGTGGCCATGACCTGTGCCCTGTCCTCCATTCACACAAAGTTTCAGTGTGATCTGTGCAAGGTGGAAAGTTTCCATCCATGTGCTGGGATTGAGCTGAGCAGCAGTAAACCCCTCTCCTAACACAGACACAAAAAGCAGAGCATGAATCATACATACCATTCAGTGCTGAGAATCTGCCCCTCTCTCTCCCCCTCTGTGTCCTGCGATGAGGTGGTGGAGGTGTTAGTAAATATCCATTAGTAGGAAGGAGCCAGTAGCATGCTTGTCCCCAGATCACACACACGGCCAGCGTTGTGCTGTGGCTGCCTATAGACTGAACTGACTGATACTGTGTATTTCTACATTGAGAATTCCCAGCCCACTAATCACAGCGCAGCCTACTGGGGAACCCTGCCTGGATGCTCTCTCTCTCTCTCTCTCTTTACTCAGTCAGTCTTTCTGTCACTTGTGACTGCTGCATCACATCCTACCCACATTCTGTCCCAGGGATCAGCTTTGTAATGTAGGCACACAGACAGGTGCTGCAATAAACCCTTCTCTTCCCCTCACTGAATGGGGAGCTGGTACTGATACAGTGTGTTCTGCTGCTGGCAAAGATTTCAGATACAGTAACACAGGACAGACACACAGACAGACAGTTATTTTAGACAACATAATATGCTACATAATGCTTAATAGTCAGCAGGAAATAATACACATTAAATAATAATTATAGAAATATTTTTTTTTATTATACAGAATAATGTATTGCCCACCTTTTTATTTTCTTTTTCCCTTTTATACTTTTTCACATTTTTATTTTTCTTTAATGTATTATGTTCATTACTTGTTTGTTTGAAACATGATACTGTTATGTTGTGTAAAAATGTATCAATAAAACCTATTTGAAAAGAATAATGCAGACTTGCAGCTGCTTCCTATAAATCAGTTCAGCTCCTGATTGATCACATTGTTTAGTTTCTTTCATCTTTGACTCCTCTTCTCCCATATCAGTGGATATGATTGAAATAAAATGGTGATGCATTGGATCCTAACTCCTACTAATCTGAGGCAGACTGGGATATGTATCTCCAGGGGAAGTCCTTAGATCAGGGGTCCTGTACTGCATTGTTTTCTTTGACCTACACGTCCTAGTCTGCCCAGATTGATGGGAGTTACACTCATGGACTGAAGCTCTAGTTTACAGCTTACACCACTAATTTAACCATTACCCAGGGGAGTAACTCCCATTATTCCTAGGCAGAGTAGGCCATGCATGTTCCAGCACTGAACTGAGATTAGAGGCCAACACTAGACAGTATGACGACTATTTGAGGTATGATTTCACCCGTCATAAAGAATAGAGTCTGGGAACATCTGTATTATATATAAATAATTACTCTGCATTGTTTTGTAAATTGTTAATGAGTTTAACTGTGTGAATGCCAAAAATGGAATGGTCACATATCCTACTGGTATTTGAGAAAACATACATTTCAGAGCCGTGTATAAAGAATGTCAAGGCTTTTTCTTTTTTTAAATCACATTATTTCAAAATATTCACTTACCACGTCCACTACCTTTGTATAGTGAAAAATTAGCCATTGCAAGTAGTAATTCTGAGGACAGGTCACTAATATCTCCAGATGAGGGAGACCAGGGAACAAAATCGAGAGGACGGGACAGGATCCTGGAATTGGGATTACTGGAAGGACTGCTTGGATACAACCATGGCAGACCATTGGTCATAAATGGGTTAATTCCGCTTTTTACCGAATTTGGGCACCTGCATTTATTATTTGTATTTGCTCATGTCTGGGCACTGTTTCCTCAAATCAAGACTTTAAAGCATGTAATGGATAAATGTACTATGCTTTAATCAAGACAATCTTATGTTCTCCAACGCATTAGTCTTACTCAGGGATGTCTCTAGTGTAATGGGTGCAATGTGCAAAATCTGAAGTTGGCATTCACAATAATCAACTGTCAAATTAATGGAGAGTAATGTGTTCATTATCAGTCTACAGTCAGGAGCGTTGCCATTCAGTACTGGTATATAATTAAAAACAAAGTTTAAGAGACACACTGAGAATGGTCAAGAGTTTAAAAGATCACTGTATGGATATTCATCCATTTGGGGGCAATGCTCCTCAACCCTCTTCTCAAGGCACACTGAGTGTGTCTAAGGTGTCTTTACCTTTTTTTAAAAACACCTTAGACACACCTGGGTAATCCCTAAATTAAGGACTGTTAGGTGTGCCTTGAGGAGAGGGTCGAGGAGCACTGATTTGGGGAATCTCAATATAAGTCTGAGACAACCCAGCAACATTTCAAACTAGCAATGTTTCAACCCAGTAAAATGATATTTTTCACGTTTGAGAAAGAGCCTAATACTGGATCAAAATGTTGCTGCCGTGTGAGTACACAATAAAGGAAAATTGAGAGGTGATGGACCATTTCCATTTTGTTTCGTATACAAAGTTAAGTATATCATGATATCATGACAATATTCGTTGAACACATGACAAATGTCTAAGTAGGCAAAATCAGGGATTGAACGTGAACAATGAACAACATAAAAATAGATTTGAAAAAATGTGCAGCTCGGTAGTTAGTAAAATAACATCAGTAAACCCTCTTAGTTCCATGGTAAGGAACTGATTTACAAGCAGCCCAGGAAGGAGTAATTAGGGTTTCAAATATGTAATTTAGCATATTAAGTTAAAGAGGTAAAGAGAGAGAAAGGAGGGAGCTAGGGGTGGTTGGGGGGAAGGAGGGAGATAGTCGTGGTTGGGGGGGCACGAGGAAGGTAAGGGAGGTAAGGACATAGAAGGGAGAAAAAACAAAACATAAAAAATCCACCCCACTCACAGCCACCTCACTAAGGCGGACTGACCAACCTGCAGCCTCTCGCCTCCCCTCTCCAAATGCCTGATCTCTCATCCATTTAGGGCCACCTCTAATGTCTCAGGAGTATTGATATAATTCAAGTCATAGGAAAACCTAAAGATGTCTACTCACACTCTCTTCCAACGCATCCTCACTCCGGTATCCCCCTTTCCTGGTATGTTCAGACATTTCTAAGAGTTCTATGTTCACCAGATATCCATTGATTCCAGTAAAACCATGTCTGTGTGCACACCTGTGCCTAGCACGCCGCTCAGATCTCTTCCATCCTTGAAATCTAATCTATCATTGGCACTGCAGTCCACCTCCAGAAGTATGGAATTAGGCTGCAAGCTGAATTTATCAAATGCGGAATTACTGACTTCTTGTATCTCCTGAGTGGGATAGGAGTGAGATAAACACATCTGGAGAAAATGCTAACGATGCATTCATGAGAGTAGTAAGGACCTGATGTACCTCTCTACAAAGGGCAATTCGAGTGGACAAGACAACCATATATGAGTGGGCCATTTCCTTTTTTTTGTCCAAACATATTGCCAGTTATTGGATGGAGCGGAGGCACATAGACAACCTCTTGGACAACTTGTGGTGGGCCCTGGTCTGTTTTGTATATTAAAATAAGTGCAAGACCTATATCATTAGCACAGTGCATCCTAACACCTAGGGTGAACACTGTGCTGTTCCAGTGTTTGGGACAGGAACATAATATTAATCAGACCCACATATTAAATGGACCCACTAATATTAGGAATACAAACATGTATTCCTAACTTAGAATGGTATACTATTTTTTCAGGTATCGATCTATTATATTCCCGCCCCAAACCTAATTTAATAATAAAAAAAAGATTTACTTACTTTTATTTCCCGATGCACTGGTCTCGCCAATGGTTG